TCAATGATTCTAATAAATCTGTTAAAATAAAAAAAAAAATCCTTGATAAACAAGAGTTCCAAAATCGGCTACATATAATTATTTACATAATCTTTGCCTACAAAACCACTATTAACGTAATTAAAGAAAACCAATAATTTACTAAAACAAACACAAACCGAAAATCGAGTTATATGAAAATTATTCAATTAATGATTTATTTTTAATTTAGATCATTTTATATTATTTCCATCTATAGTAGGTAATTAATGTTTTGAGCAAAAAATGCTCATAAAATGTTTGGGTATGAAAAAATCATATGTTATTAAAAACCTAATTGTAAACAACATTATTAGTTTGATTAGTGGACACACTACAATAAAATGATAAAATTCCCATAGAAATATATTCCAAAAGAAATTATTCCAACGACAATTCCAACGGATATTTCAATACTATTATTTCCGTTGGAATGAATTTTTCATTGGAATTTCCATTCGATTTTGACGATTCCAACGGTGGATTTTTCAACGGAGTGGAATTAAAAATTTCAACGAAAATTCCTACGGTAAAAAAACCATTGGAAATATAGCAATTTTTTTTTTCCGAAACGATAGGAATATTATATATAAAAACGCACAACTGTGCAACAAAGCAGCCCAAGGCTGAATAATACAACCAAGAACTAGAAACTGGGAGGACGGATCGAAAGACCGCCTAGAATCCACGCTAGCCACACTAGAATAAAAAACACAAACTACCAAACTCCCAAACTAGAAACGCTCCCCACGGGAGAATAGAAACGGCCCCCACAGGGTAGCCAGTACCGAGGCCAACGGCCCAAACCTAAAACACGATCCTACCAGAAATATAGCAATTGAAATCATCAAATTTCTAAGATTGACATTCACTCTTGTTTATCGTCATGAAAATATAAATGAATATTTATCTAAAAAACTTAATCTTTGAAATGTAGTGATCGTGTGTTAATTTTTAATTTCATGATTGATGGACTCTTTTATTAATTAGTTGGTTTGAATCAATATATAACAAAATTTGTTGCCAATCGTTATTAGAGTTTTTAAATTAATTTGTGTAAATGCATAAATAAAAAGAGACCTAAACTATGAAAATTTTTTCATCTTTTGAAATCAAATAAATGACAAACACTATCTTTTAAAATAAATAATGATAATGATTATAACATTGTATTATCAAAACCGATAAGGTATATAAAATTCGTTTTCTTTTTTAAATCGATAATGAAGAAGAAAGTCTAATTGGTGAAAAGATGATATATACAAATCACGATTTTAGAAATCTGATATATACAAATCTTAGCATGCGGTTTCAAACAATTTAATAATATAATAATAGGCTTAATGAATTATGATTCAGATTCATGCAAAGAAAATTTTGAACAGATTTCTAAAATCATGATATATACAAATCATGATTTTCCTTAGAGATTTATTCAGATTTTCAAATTGTTTGGAAATCACGATTTCTAAAATCATGATTTAGTCGGATTTACATTCGAATTTCCAAATTGTTTGGAAAAATAGGATATTTATTCGGATTTTGATTCCTTATTGTTTACCAATATAAAAGTATTTGATGTTATTAGTAAAAAGAAAAACGAAAAAAATCTGATTTACTATTTTAAGATATAATTAATGAAAGTGGCGGGAAATTGTTTCTAAATTTGATTTATGTCAATCCTTACTATATAGGATTAACATATATGTTAACATATAAGTAACATATATGTTACTTTCACGTAAATACTAATATATATATATATATATAAATTATTTCTAACAATTATTAGAAATATGATTGATTCTTAAAAAGAATCTTTAATTGACAATTATTAATTAAATGTTTTATATTGTACTTTAAAATTTTTAAAAATATGTATGGTAAGTGTATTTTTTAAATTAAGTGTATTAAGTATGGTAAGTGTATTTCTTAGATTTATTTTGATTTTGATTCCATATTTTTGATTGTATTCCTAAAAAAAAATTAGATAAAAAATGTATGCTAATAAATAGAGATTTTGTTAATTTACAATTTTTAGGCAATAATTAATGAAATTGGCGGGAAAATATTTCTAAAAATGAATTATGTTAATCCTTATAATATATTAATAGATTCCTTGATATAAGAGAAAATAACAGTTTTATTTATTATTGTTAATCATATGATACTTTATTATTATTTCATTATAAACTTTGTCGTCATATAATGTCATTAATTTTGAAAAGAAGTTATAGAAGCAATGAGTCTTCTTATTCTTTTAATTATGTAATAAAAAATATTTAATGCACGTTAATGTTATTTATTTATGTAATCCATTTAAATTATGTAAATAAATTTAAAATTAAATAGTGCATAAATATTTTACAAAATTTACACACATGTTTTCTTAGAATTCAATTTTATATACTAATTAAACAACTTTGATGTAGCAAATGCCAAAATTTAATCCCTTCCCTAATTAAGAGATTTTTCTAATTTGCATCAAAAGACTTTATAGTTTATTTAACATACTTTGCAATGGAAATATATTTTAATGATAAAAAAAATAGTTGATAATAATATACAAATAAATTCTAAATAATATTAATATATTTTAATTATTTTGACCAAATAAAACTATTTAATGTATCTGGTCATTATCTCTTAAATTATAAATTATATTAGTTGGAATAATAATTTATTTCTTACATATAATGAAATAAAGTTTAAGAAAAAACTATATTGATAAACATTAATCTTACTTGATTTTGTCTTATTAATTGGAAGAAAAAATCATATCTAACATGTTACGATTTTCTATAAATATTTTAGGATATGAATATTTGTAGAAAAAATAATATTATGGTTAGAACTTAAAATATATTTTCATATTTATCTTAACCAAAATATAACTAACACGAATCACGAAAAAAAAATTCTTGCAATTTATTATAATGGATATCAATGAAATTATTGCAGAAATTAATAAATTTATTCAAGGAAATAATGTTTTCGATCATATCTTATTTGAAACATGTATATAGAAATAATTAATTCATATATTTAAAAAGTTTCTAAAAAAAAATATGCATTAAATGCTCCCAAAATTTTTTATATACATAGATTTGCTGTGGTAGTTGTGGAAAGACCTTTGGGTTTTGGATTCCAGAAGTGAACTTCTGAGAAATGCACTCCAAGAACGCTTGTATAGTAGTAATAATAAATATGTAGAAAAAATAAAATAAAAATATAAAAAAAAATAAAAAAATGAAAGTGATCTTATCCGTAATCTTGTTCCGTGTCAACATTTTACGCTTACATCATATTGGTCATAATTTTCAACTTTTCTTATTCTCCAACAGTCAAATTGATATCTAGACCTATTGGAGTTGGCTCATGTGGTAATCTGCTTGATGTTCTTTAAGTAGGGTTTCGTGTTCGAGTCTTTGCAGACGTAGAAAATTTTTATTGAGAGACTCACCCTGCCAGGTGTGCTGCTCGGGTCGACTAACAATTAGTCGAGACATAGCTCTGAATACCATGATGGGGCCACCAAAAAAAAAATGATATCTAGTACTCTATTGGTTTGGTGCATGTCGATTATTGTTAAATTAATTTTCAGCCAGATATTTTTTTTTTCTCTCTCTCTCTGTGTATGGATGTAATATATAAAGATTAGAGAGGGATAATTGGTGATTTGGGATTTGTTATCTTCAAAAATCATTGATTCTCTTGAGGAATATTATAATTAAAAAAAAAAAGAAAAAAAAGAAATAGAAATGGTGCTACAAACAGTAGATATTTTGAAAAATGAGATTCCTTTTGAGGAGGAATCTGTGTTCGTATCCGATGATTCTAAGGCCGGTTTAGTTCTTGTTGACATCATTAATGGCTTCTGCACTGTCGGAGCTGGCAACTTGGTAACTAACATCTCTCCCTCTCCTTATCTAATTTTCTATTAATTGCAACATACTCTCCTGAGGCTTCCTTTTGTTAAAAAATTTTATTTCTCGAGCCTTAACAAACCGAGCCTAACCCGAGCTCGTTAGCTGTTGTGATACGAACTTGAGCCTCAACGAGCCAGCCGAGCGACACATTTTGTTTACCGGGCCTAACTTGTGATAATCCGGAAAGTTGGGGTCTGTTTGTAAATTTTTTCGTGCAACTCATGTTGTTACATATTTTGTTCTTTATTTTTGCAGGCTCCAAGAGAACCAAACAAGCAGATTAGTGAGATGGTTGATGAATCATCAAAACTAGCAAAAATATTCTGTGACAAAAAGTGGCCCGTGATCGCCTTTCTCGACTCGCACCATCCCGGGAAAATCGAGCACCCTTATCCACCACACTGCATCAATGGCACAGATGAATCGAACCTAGTTCCCGGTATACCAACCAACATACATATTACATTTTATGATATAGATCGTGTGTTGTTTTTTGAGGCTATGTTTGGTAATCTTAGCTTATAAGCTAGTTTATAATTTTTAAGTGAGTTCCGAGCTTATAGATAATAGCTTATGACTTATGGCTGAAAAGTTAGCTTATTCAATAAAATTGTTTGGTAAAATTAGCTGATAAGTTAGCTGAAATGAAAATTTCAATGGGTTTATTTGAAAAACTACCCAAAGAAGTTTATGAGATAAGTTCGAGCTTTTTAGGAGAACTCGTTCTGCCAAACCAAACTTACTTTTTTGAATACAGGAAGCTCGTTTATAAGCTAATAAAATAAGTTATAAAGCTAACATATATGTTTACCTAGCACTGTCAAAACGGGCCATGGCCCGCGGGATGGCCCGCCCGCCCGCCTAAACGGGCGGGCTTGGGCCTTTGCTTGGCTAGCCCGTTCAATCGCGGGCCTATTTGGCCCGCCCCGTTTGGCCCGCGGTCCGGCCCTTTTTTTTTTTAATGACAAGTATTGTATATTTGTATTCTTTTTTTTGCCTTGAATTTAATTGTATAATATAAATATGAAATAAAATGTAATTTTTTTATGACAAGTATTGTATTATTTTTTTTTTCTTGAATTTAATTGTATAATATAAATATGAAATAAAAATGTAAAGACGTGAAGAATTTGAGCAAGGTAGAGATTTGATGGAGCTGACAAAACATTGGTCGTCCACTTTTAAATGTCTCACCCAATCACTTTCCTTAATATAGCATAATAGCAACAACAATTATTAAAAATAACCAATTATTAAAGGATAAAAGTATTTAATTTCATTTTGCATTTTACCACAATTCAATCACAATATATGGTCACCATCGAGATCAAAATGTTGTACAAGTAATTATATTCCCACTGTTCATTTTTTCCTTTTATAGTTTGAATTTAAAAACCAAAATTGCATTATAAATTGCAAAAAAAAATAATAATAACAATAAAAAAACAGTAAGTAAAAAAAAAAAA